GTAACGCCTCCCCGGAGCCGCCGCCTCCCGGGCCGCCCTGCCGGCCGCGCCGCTCCCCCGGCCGGGGTCGCGCACACGCGAGCCTCCTGCGTGGCCGGGCTCTCGCCGGGGCCGCCCGGCCGCCCCTGCCCGGGGCCGCCGGCTGAGGACGAACGCCTGTGAGGGTGAACCCGAGAGAGCGGGACGAGCAGATTTTGTTGACGAAAAGAGTTTGAGCGCGGACTTTCACGTCTTTCAGCCTTTTCCTGCGTGCCCGTTTACTAGGGAATCTGTACTAAATCTTGCTCCGTATTTTTAGTTTAACCCCAGGTTAGGTCTGTAAGTGATGCTCACCGTTTTTGAGTGCTAAATGTGGAGACGAGGGTACTTCTTAGGAAATTTTTTTTAAAAAGGCAACTGTTATAATAAAAAGCGCTGACAAAAAATTTGCAGAACAGGAATGCAGACACTACTCAGAAAGCCTGTTTTAACGTAACTGTAATTAACAAGACATTACAGTGTTCAGCCTCTCGTAAAATTTTGACTGGTTATTCAGGTATAGAAAACACTGTTGGGCGAATCCGCCATGGTTCCCTTGAAGTTGCTTAACTTTGACCGTATTTCCAAATGTCAGCTTCATGTGGTACCAACAGAGGCTGCTGTGCAGAATTATTAGGAAAGAGTTATAGAATCAGAGAAGTTTTGAACTGAGAGTTATTCTTCAGCCTCCCCAGCTAGTTGGAATAATGTAAGTGAGAACTGGAGCTGTCGGTATTTCTCGCCTTGGCGAATCACAGCCTTGGTGGGAGGGACTTTCAGTGGTAGGCGGGGAACACGTTTACAATAAAATGCCTTGTTATTTTAAATGCTGTGTTGTAAATAGCCTGCCCTAGGCTCTTAAAACCCACTGCAGAGTGGACTTGGAGGGGTTGGAGCTGGTAAATCCACAGTAAACGCGTACGGAAGCTTTGGGGGAGCTTGGTGGGGGAGGGTAACGTGGGGGTGAGGAGTTCTGTTTGCATTGGGAAATTTGGACCGACACGACGTTTTGTATTTTATGCTTTTGATAACGTGAGACTTCTAAGCAGTATTCCATACTATTTAAAAATAGTATGCTCGAAGGACTACAGATGTTAAGTTGAATGTGTTTATATTGTCTTGGCTATAAATCTGCTCTACGAACGGATAAGCCGTTTCTAGTCCACAGAAGGATCGGGTCAGCTTCATGGAAGCTGTAGAAATTCCCAGCAATCGCTGCCCTTCTAAAAAGCCCATCGCGTGGTGTTTTATCTGGAGCATCTGGAACTGAGAGCAGTGTAGGGGCTCTGCTCCTTTCCTGTGGGCACGTGGAGTTAAGGACCTGCTTGGGAAGCTGGCATCCCTGAATGCTATTCCTGCTGCTCCCTCAGTGCTTGTAAGCAGAATGGTATTTGATTCATTGTTTCATCTTGAAGGTATAATAAAACAGTAATGTTGGAAATAAAGGTAATTGGTGGTGATGCCAAAATTAGGAGGGAAAGTTGGCATTGCTTAATGCTTGCCATTCACTTGGCAAATGCTTTATGTTGGTTAATGTCTAGACTGTGTCGACTTAATTGTGAGAGTGGTGGGTATTTTTTTTTTTTTTTTTTGGAGAGTTAATTAACAAGTAGTTTTTGTTCGTGTGCCAATATTTGACATACATAGGATTTTTCTGGAGGAAGAATGAAAACCATCGTGTTTCATAGCTGGAGTTCGAGTTTCTTGTTAGCCCTGACTGCTAAGCTACCGTTGCAGACCTGCAGGTCTCTAAATCAGCTAGCGAGCCACAGACCCTGAAGAGTGGAAGTTGGTTTTGAATGACGTAGGCCTGGCTTTAGAATACTGAACCTCTCTGCCTCCTGGCAGTTACCTGAAGCAGGAATGCTGAGGGCTAGCACTTCCCATTACAGCTCCGCACTCCTCCAGTCCTTCAGCTCTCTCAGCTGTTTCAGAACGTGGTCGTACACCTGAAATAATCATGCTCCTGCATCAAAACAGGCAAATGTGATTTAAATAATAACTGGAGGTTTTGGTCTAACAAATAGTGTTTTAAAATATACCCCCCCACACACAAACAAGAAAACAAAACTCTAAACCATATAAACAAGAATAGAACTGGAAGTGGGGTGACATTTGCCATTCCAGTGCAGGGGAGGCTAAGGCAGACTGTGAGTTTGAGGCCAGCCTGCACCACATAGGGCATGTTACAGCCAAGGCTGGCAAAACAGCTCGAATTTAATGACCTGAGTTTGAGTCCCCAGAACCTACATGGTAAAAGGAAAGAGCTAACTCCTGCAAGTTGTCCTCTGACCACCACAGGTGTGCTGTGACAGACACATACACACACGAAAAAAATAATTTTTTAAGTAGAAAGACTAAACTAGAACCAATGTGTATGATTAGTGTTACCCCACCAGGTCCAGCTTTTGGCTGGTTCACTGTGCTTGATGTGTTTGGCGGCCCTTGGACTGGGAAGCATGAGGTGAAAAGAGAGTAAGAATTCTGGAACATCTGCTAGCATTCTCCAGGATGGGGTTGAGGACTGGACCTGGGTTTGGTAGGAAGCATGGCAGGAATGCTTAAAATGCTGCGCTCAGTTGTTGGGAGCCGCCCAGCTCAGCCGAGGGTTTGGTAATGGGCTCCAGTTTCGCAGTGAAGTGGTGTTATTTTGTCATTTGTTACAGATTTTCTCTGTTTGGGGTCTTTGTTTTGCTTTGTTTGAGATAGGGATTCATTGGGAAGCCCTAGCTGCCCCAGAACTCTCCAGGTTGGCCCGGAACTCACTGTGTAGACCAAGATAGCCTAGGACTTTGGCAGTCTTGTTCCTTTCTCCTGAATGCTGGTATAACAGGTGTGAGTTACTTAGTTGTTTCCGGTTTTCTGTTTCAGTGTCTTGTAGTTTCCTTTAAAATATATCTAAATCAGTAGTTAATGCCAAACAGATTTCAAAAACTAGGTTTACTTTATTCGCTATTCCCAAGGGTCATATTTATGAATGTATTGATGAAGGAAAAATCCCCATCTGTCAGGTCTTGTTAAAATGGTGTGGGAGTAGCTCAGCAAAGCGCATCTCTAGCTGTCGTCTTCGTTTGACTGATGAGTATTTCCATGAAAATTTCACTTAAAAGTTTAAGATTTGGCTATGAAACCAACTGTCTTCAAGCTGAACCTTAAAATACAAGGTCTCCAAGCAGAGAAAAGAACTTCTCTTGTTTGTGACGCTGAAAGCGTGCTTCTTTCTAGATGGTTCTGTCAGGGACCTGGGACACCAGTAGGTGCTGTTTAACCACCTGTCAAAAAGACAGAGTTCCCTGCAGTGTTCAGGACATCACATCCTACAAAACGTTGGGGAGAGATGGGGAGGAAAGGCAGAGCACTGAGGAAAACCCAGTGGTATGTGTATGAGGTGCCAGGAAAGAGTCCTCCTTGCCTGCTGGGCTTCACATTGCTCATGAGTCTGGAAAGGGGAGGCTGAACCAAAACACTTGACTGCTGCTGCTCCAGGCCCGGCCACCTGGGCTTTCTTAGCTCAGCTACGCTCTGACAGAGAAAGGCCTTGACTTTTCCTGCTCTGGTGCACTGTTTTTATGTTTTTATTTTGAGACAAGGGCTCGGATCGCACAGGCTGGCCACACACTCAAAATGTAGCCTTGGGCTCTGGACTCCTGCCCTTCCCGGGCATCCCCCTTGGTGGGCTTTGTTCTGTTTGTTGGGGAAGGGTGGGCTGTGGCAGAAGGAGCTGCTCTGACTGGGGCCTCCTGCTTGCTGGATGGGTGCTCTACCCAGAGCCACACCTCCAGTCCCTTGGCTGGCTGGTTTGGAGTGTCTAGAACATACAGGGCTACTGTGTAGAAGTCTTCCCTTGGCGTGTTGCAGCGTCCGTGTTAGAGTGACGGGCTAGCATGGTGTGTGAACCTCCCAGCAGTTTAGGCTCTAGTCTGAGTGGAACTTTGCTTCACTGTTAGGACCCAGTGTTCAGGGTCAGATATTTCATCTATGAACCATGGTTTAGAAAGAGAACCAGTGTGTGTATGTGTGCGCAACACGTATGCATGCTTGAGTGTGCAACTATTTACAAGTGTGTAGTTTAGTCATTTGACGTTAAATGTGTTCTTGTCATTGTGGCAAACAGTACTTGTCTATTACCCAAAACTTTGTCATGGTCCCCTCAGTCAGTCATTTCCTGTTCCCTTGCCCCTGATTAATCTCCGCTCTTCTGTCTCTGGACTTGCCTGCTGTAGGTATGGAGGGTCAGCGGGATGGTACGGTATATTTTGTGAGCAGCTAACATCACTCAGCACCATGTCCCCAAGGTCCTCTACCTTATGGCCTGTAATAGGACTTCCTTCCTAAGGCTGAATGTTAGGGCATGGACATATGCTGTGTGATGATCTTGGAGAACTTGCCCCTTTTTTTAATTAATTAATTAATTAATTAATTAATTAGTTAGTTAATTATAACAGAATCTCAGTATGTACCCCTGGCCGGCCTGGAACATGCTGTGTAAGACTAGGTTG